CCAAGTTTGCCAGGGAGAGGAAAGGATTCCAGCCCATCTAATTTTAGATGCCTGCATCTGATCTAGTGAGATCCCGTTCGTCACCAGTAGGGAGAAAAACATACACCTAGAACACAGTAAACCGTATCCCCATGCCAATGTCGAAAATAACTCTGAAGGTCTCAAATATCTTGTTGTTTCTTGATGCTTCTGCCAGTACATATTTACTCAACTATTCCCATATCTTACACTTAAATGTCAAACTGTTCACAGCTGATTAAATTTTTTGTAGCGTGTTCATACAGTGCACAGCACAACAACTAGCATTCACAGACACGACAACATTTGAAATAAAATCCGAGCAGAAAGGAACCAAAGATAACATGAAGCAAAGGATTTCAAACTCCTTCCAAGGTATTGAGAATGACAGTTCTGTGTGATTATGGCATAATTTCCAGAAAAAGAGTCAGTTGCGATTTGAAGGTTTTAAGGCATGGAAGACCTACGCATGTGTCTCCCACCGCAAGACTTTACGTTGGCTTTGGATTAATCTTCTCAGTCTTCCCAATTTGCTCTCCAATCTTCCAAGAACACTGCGAAGTAATACAGACACCACAACATGCTATCACACTGAGGTATCACTTCTGTCATGACACAGAAGTTAAGCCTACTGCCACAGGATTACACCAAGAAGGGCATGTATTTGTGCATCTAGTCTCCTAAAATATTCCCCAAACAACTGAATTCCAGGAGGCAGGTGACCGTGGTATCAGCACAACCTGAATGCTTTGATGTAAAGCAAAGTCCTTACCTATGGTGTTTTTTGGTGGGTTTTTTTTGAGCATTAGCACAATAGTAGCATTTTTCCATGTTCTGGAACTCAGCAAGTCTTCTAAGAGACTTAAAAAAAAATAATCAGTAAACTAATTGTTTTTCCAGCCAAATCTTGCATGTTTTTTGATGCAAATTATCTTTATATTGCGTACATACTAACACCTTCAATTAAGAAAAGACATTCATTACCCTGAACACAGTATCATTTATATCCAACTGCAAGAAAGACATTGCTATCAAATATTTTTTCACTATTTTCAATTTACCATCTCTGCTAAGTAACAGCTAGATTTATATAATTGTCAGACTCCACTGATGCCTAGTTAAAGTAGTAACATTAGTAATGTTAATATAGTAACTTTAACTATGCTTCTCCTTAGCATTACAAGCTTTTAGCTAATTTGTAAGAGTTCTAAGCTTCATTACACACAACTTATCATTCTCAGTCTGCATCCCCATACACATCAATGAGTAGTCCGCAGCACTGTGACTCACAAGCCGAGAACCACCGAATTGCAGCATTAAAAATAGGAGGAAAATCAAACAAGGAAGTCAGAGTCAGATGTAACACTTGTGTTTGGGAGCAGATTTAGCATTGTTTCACCTGGTGGGGTGTGGCTTTACATACTATCTTTTGCTAAAGTTAAGTGACAGTTTTGATTGTAATTGGTTTTCAATGTTTACGTTGCCAGACCTATCATCTTCTGTACTTCCAATATAAAATAATTGAGAAGTCGATTTCAGCCAAATAGTTCTGCTTCAGGGAAAATACTCTCAGGTCTCATGTATTTTTAGATCTATTCTTAAACAAATCTCAGATCTCTGTGCTTTGGATCAAGGACTTCAAATTCAGCCAGTTTTCAAAAAAGTGCATTTTGTCCATGAGAAGGAGAACAGCAACTTCTGACAATGTTAAAATAGAACTGAAAGATCAGCTTAAGGACTGGACGTAAAACATTAATCAGCAACATATTTGCGCATCAAACATGAAGTCAATATTCACTGTCTTATTTACCATCGTCACAGTAATTATATATTTACAAATTTCATAAAATGGTAATAGAACGGAAAAATCAGTGAAAACATCTATAACTACAGAAATGTATTTATTCTGCTTAGTAGATAGAACTAAAATAAATACTGGTCAATGGCAACTAGAATTGACTGAATCCTTAAATCTACAACATACACTCTACTTTTAAAAGCAGAATTAGGCTTAACTTGCACTGAGTAGAATCAAAAGGAAACTAAGTCATCAAAGCTGAAATAACACTGCTGTCAAATTCTGTTCAAACTGGGAAAGTTGTAAGTCTTCTAATAAAAAGCAAGTTGACAGAGTCAGTAATAAACTGATTAAGCCTTAGCAGCTACAACTTTCTAAGGTTCCATCTGTTCTGTACATGTGCCACCCTGGGTCTCTGCCAGATCGGAAGCCTGGGACTCTCTTCTGTATTGTCAGTGATAGGACACCCCTGCTGTGCTCTGTCAACAAAGAAGTAGTGCCTCTTTGAGTACAGAGGTGACAAACTTGGAACCGTCTAGGATATAATTAATACAGACAGCCTTGTAAATAGAAAGGGAGATTGCTGGTCAAAAATAGAAAATATGGATTTAAAAAACGGAGCATGGGAATATAGCCAAAGCATTACGTAATAGTATCACTAGGGAAAACCAGAAGTGACAACTTTTGGAATATTTGCAGAAGAAGTGAAAACAGAGTGAACACAATAAGACAGAGTCTAACAAACAACTTGGAACAAGCATAAAAATATTTCAGAATGAGGAATCCTGCCAAAGAATCTGCAAAGACAATAGATCAAGTTATAAGAGGCATACTCAGAGGAGACAGTTTCTCTGCAGAAGTATTTTTGTTGGTTTTCACCACTGAAAAGCATGGCAAGGTTCTCACATCAGAGCACCTCTGCATGGAAGACTCAAAGGGTCTGTTTCAAACAGAAAAGCTGGTAGAACTTAAAAACAAACTAACAAAATGAAAAAAAAGGTAGTCGCCAGAATGAAAAGGTATTTACTCTTTGAACTTTGAAGAAAACTATCGATGTTACTGCAAAATGTAATAGCTAAACTACTCAAGTACATATATAATCTCTCACTTAAAACTGCCCTAGTACCAGTGGTTAACATAATCACTAAGAATATTCTAAAGCAGACCAGAGAACTATAGACCAGTAAGCTTGATATTTATACTAAATAAAGTGGTGCTAGTAAGTCTAAAACAATTAGGGAATAAGTGAGTAAACGAGATATCGTGTGGAAGTCTCACTAGGGCATTTGTAAGCTAGTTACACTTCACAAATCTAATACAGCTTTTTTAAGTAAAAAAAAGTCCAGAAGAGAAAGTTGGTTAAAAGCCTACCGCATTTCAAAAAGGCATTCCTCAAAGCCTCTTAAAGAAACTAAGCTAAGCTAGAATAAGAGCTAATGTCCTTTTGTGAACAAATCACTGGTAAAAAGACAGGAAATAATGGTGGACTCTGATGGTCAGCTTTTGCAGTGGATGGAGTACCCAGAAGAGTTCCACAGGAATCTATTCTGGGACCTGCGCTTCTCAATATATTTGGGCAGGAGATGTCCACAGATGCTATTCAGAATGGAAAAGATGAGGGTCAACTGTGAAAACAAGCAGGATTTCTCTATTGGGAGTGGCTGGGAGGTGAAACAGGAGATGAAATTTAGTGTACATAAGCACAAAGTGAGACAAAAGGGTAAACAGGCTTCTAAATTTACATATCCATCAGCCTCTGAGCTTGTTATTACCACCCACAGATAACTCCAAAATGTTAAAAGTAGACACACATAACAAAAATAGTAAACTCAGTGCTCAGCAGACAAACAGGCAGATATCAGGAATTGTCAGGAAAGAAACAGAGAACAAAACAAAAACCACCACTAAACCACTCTACAACTGCATGCTGTACTGAACTCTTCAGTTCTGTTTCCTGATGCCAAATAAAATTATAGTCAAACCAGGAAAAGTACAGAACATTATTGAGTATCTCCTGTACAAGGAACAACTAAATAAAACAGAATTCTTCAGCCTAGAGAAGAGGCAGCTGAGAAGGGTCATGCTCTCCCTGCGGCACTCAGTCACATAAAGAGGAACCAGTTGCTCCCCATGTCTTCCACTGGGACACCTTGGTGAAATCACATGGAAACAGATGGCAAAGGACAGGTTCAACTTAAACAAAAGGAGACTGTTCTTCACATTCCAGGTAATTAAGCTGTAGACTTCTTCGCCTTAGGCTGTTCTGAATGTTAAACGCACTCATGAACATAGGAAAGACTGGGCAAAATTTCAGAAGGAAAGTGCATCCAGACCCACTGGGGTCAGTGATGCCCCCTCCGGTTATGGGTGGTTTGAAAAATATCACCATGTGCTTCCTCTGCTCCTTATTTTTCTCCCTATGCACGTGCTACTGTCTCTGTTAGAGACAACAGGCAGAGCTGGATGGCTTCCTCAGTGTGTACCACTGGGGCTGCACATGCCGTTAGGTAACAGAAGAGGAGGAAAACCAAGACTGGCAAAAGAGCCTAAGGGCATGAAAGGAAAGAGAACGTTTCCCACAGGTCGTACAGTATACAGAAGGGGTGTATGGGGCATAACTGGCAATGTTTTCATGGCGGGGGGGAGCTGCACGACTGAGTGTAACCCGTGGCAAGGGGATTGGAGAACAAAAAAAAAAAAAGGGAAAAGAGGTTTCACAGAGGCAAGGGATGTTTTCCCTAACAGTGTGCATGTTTCTTTTGATCCCCGAATGAGTAATTGGAAGTTTGTTTATTGACAATAAATTAAATTAGGGAACTGGGTCCTGAATTGAAAAAGTGTACCTCCAATTAATTGAATATTCTAAACCTGTGAGCATTTTTCACTTGAATCTCAGGTTCCTCTTCCTCTCATTGAGTAGTAAATTCTATGGTGAATATCAACACCATTACCTTCAAAGCCCCTAGAGAAATAGAGGATTCTGTTGTCAGAACTAGGTCTCAGCAGTGTTGAGTTTGGGCAACGGAACCTCATACTCTGTCTTTAGTAATGTGACAACCCCTGAACTTCAAGGTTTGTTTCCTTATAGGGTATAATCTACTGTTAAGTACAAGTCCAAAGAAGTAGGCAGTATAAATTTTAAAACCGTGTAAAGTATAAAAATGAACAAGTGTTAAGATCTCACCTGTAACAAGTATGAGCCAGAGGTATCTGCACTGGAGCTCTCATTTTGTATCGTATTCTGTTGGGTAATAGCATCCTCCTTCTTTCGCTCCTTCTGCCCTGCTTCATCATCTTCATACTCATCAAGGCTCTAAAACCAAAAATCTTCAGTTATAAAATAGTCTTTGTATGTTGCTTCACATATTTCACAAAATTCATGCATCAGTCAGTATTTTCCAAGATTAATTTCATACTTCAGAAAAGTTTAATTAAATGTGTACATGCTTTTCTTTCCATGGATATTGATATCTCCAATACAAGAATAAACTTTGACAACTAACTGCTTTTTCTTAATCACAAAAATAAGAAATAATCAAATCAAGATCCAACTTGACAAAGCTTTAGGCAATGTTGTCTGAGTTCAGTGCTAATCCTGCTGTAAGCAGGAGTGTGGACTACACTTGAGGTCCCTTCCATTTGAATGACTCTGCAATCCCGTTTGTCATAAGCGATAGTTTTTACCTCAACATAAGAGATTTTGAAGAAGTATAGAAAAGGAAAAAAAGAGTTAATTATGCTCTTCACTCAACAGCTGACTTTTTTGATCCAGTAGCATCTGCTGAGATCAAAGGCTCAGTCTCTATCACCTACCTTAATTTTGCTGTCATTTTTGGTTTTGTCTTTGAAAATTTACCATTGAAAATTAAGTAATTTAAAAATTAGTTGGACAGTCATTAATTACTAACAATTAACACATATAAAACATTTTGGCTCTTCAACATGCATGTTTCAATCTAGATTTGCTGAAATACTGGGATTCAAAAGGATTAAGTTTCTAAAGCACTGGCTGCTGACAGGTGAGAGACAGGAAAAGTACCTAACTCACTCACTCACTAACACTGCCTCTGTTCTAGCTCAAAGCCACGCTGAGGCTAGGGTAGAAATGTGAGGACTCCAATCAGCTTTGGACTAAGTCAGCTATGTCTAGATCAGTCTGTTAATTTAACATACACAAATTTACAGAGAGAAAAAAACCCCACATTCTCATGTTTAGAAGACCAACTTGAAGCAGACATGAAGCTCCAAAAAAAATTTGATCACAAGCTGTTTTGCCAGCACTCTGCATTAAAACAAGAGGTGTGTGAGACCTAGTTACAAAACCACAGGGAACTAACCATTCTAAGACATCCAAAAAAGCTTCTAGATTAATGTGCAATAGCTTGAGAAACAGAGAACAGGGCTACAAGAGAACAAAGATGAATGTCAAATTATTTCAGTGGAAGTTTCTACTGCACAAAACCCAAAATCACTATTCTGAGGCTTAGATACTGATGACCTCTGACATCATCCTATCCAAAGGACATAAAACTAGTGAAAAGCATATAATGAGAACGCTGGAATGCAGTCCTTTTTAAAAGTAGAACTAGTTTTATTTACTAGCTGAAAATAGCACTAGTATCCAAAAAACTAACTTTAGCTGCTCCAAAGCAAACGCTATGGTGACAGAAGTGCTAGAAAGCCAACAAACTAGAAAGGTGTACATTTCCAAAAGTGAATATAATAAAGTGAACATAAGTGAATCTGAATAAAGGCCATTTAAATTCTCTACAGTAGCAGTCATGGCAGAATACTAATGCAATTTCACCAGTCTACTTCTAGCCAACATCTTAGTGCAACTGATGTACACCTGTCTACTCCTCTTCCTAAGAAAAGGCATACTTGAAAATTATTACAGATGAATCATTATACATTCAAAACCACTTTCAATAAGTGGTCTTTTCAAATAAAATAATTATAAATAAATACTTAATTTGGTTCTCTCAGGTCCATTTTTAACAGAGCATTTAACAAACACTGTCACAGCACATTCTAGGAGATGATCTTTAAATCAACATCCCTTACCTTTTATAAACCGTAAAGCTTAAAAATTTTGGTAAGATAAACTTAATTCCGTATCCCAATTTATACCATTACCCTAATAATCCATTCTGAAGTGACAAAAGAAGAAATTGAGTGATCTTCAGCTCTTACAAAACCAGTCTTATTCAGAAAGAACTACAAGGCTCACAGAAGGTATCACATAAATTAAGACTAAATGTCATGGAGATGAAGAATAATACTGTGTTCGAAAAACAGGAAAACTTTTGGATTGTTCTTCCGGTCTCCAAGTTGTTCGTGTAAGAGAATGGAGATCTCAGATAAACTCAAAGGAAAGAGAGAGTTTGACATGAGTTTGGAAGAGCAGCCTCTAGTAAGTGTAGGAGAAAAGCCACTGGAGACAGAAGAGACCAGTAACTTCACACACCTCAAAAAAGTTTTGCATTTTCAAGGAACAAGCGCTCCTTCCTTCATAAATTCTCTCCTTCTTCAGATACATGCTTCTCATAAGCTTTCCAGAGACAATCAGCATTCCACAGAAATATTTTTCTCTGAACACAATTACATCTGTGAGGAAGAATGTTCTCTTTTTCAATATAAGATCACCTGCTACGAACTATTCTCTTAGCAGTTTTGGACAGGAACAAGATATCATAATCTGATACGAAACTTCCAGCCACAAAATTGTAAACTAAGCATTTTCAGTTAGGATTTGCCAGCAATGTCCATTCCCACCCTTTCCCTTCTTCTCAGGAAGGTCCAAGATCACAAAAGACTGCTAATCAACACCATCAAAAGGTATTCAACCCCCCCAAATAATTCACATTTCCAAACTTACAGGCTTTCTTCCCAAGCACAGAACAGTTAGCTGAACAGTTTATGTAAATCTAATTTGCAGCATATAACCTCTGCTTTAAAGGTTACTGAGGCTTGCTCCTGCTCCAGTTCCCTTCACTGGAGCAGGCCCCCAGCCAACTGGGGCCAACACAAGTTTGAGCAGTGAGAACTAGAGGTGCAGTGGGTTTTTATTACTTCTTATAGATGAGGTAGAAGAGACATGGACAGGTTGATCCTCAGCATTTGCAGCCCATGCGGCACATTTAGCCAGGGTTGTCAATGCCCTCCTGCCCTAAAGCAGATTACTGGGCACTGTCAAGGACCCTCTGCGGTTTCCCAAACACAACGGTTGCATTCCCCTTCCAAACATACAGACTACGCACATACCTGCGCACTAATTTAAACAACGTCCATGAGACGCCTGCTGAGTACAAGTCAACATGACAATGACTACACAAGTTTAACATCTTACTGCTTTTTATTAAAGTTACTAAGTTTTGTTTCAATAACCATTAACCTTAATAAGGAAATCCATTTGTTTTGACTCATGATGAAATCAGCTTCCTTATGCAAAATAGTACTTTATGTTCAATATCCTGCTTACATACTTCTCCATCAATTTCAGTTAGAATGCTGATCTTAATGCTACTTATATTCTAAGCTAACTTTTAGAGTAATAAAAAAATCAATAAAAGCCAAGTTTCAGTGGACAGATTATCACATCACAGAACCATAGGATGATTTAGGTTGGAAGGGACCTTAAAGATCGTCCAGTTCCAACCCCCTGCCATGGGCAGGGACACCTTCCACCAGACCAGGTTGCTCAAAGCCTCATCCAACCTGGCCTTGAACACTTCCACAGATGAGGCATTCACAACTTAATTATTACCAAAAAAATTAAAAAGGTCCAAAGTGGTGTTACACACTTTAAAAACCATTTTTGTTCAAACTGCCCTGCAGCTGAAACTGTCTCAGCCCACAGGACATTGCAATCAGATGGATTAGTGCATTGCTCGCATTGCGGGCTTCTCCCAAATACCACACTTTACTTTAGAAACTAGTTTCACATCATTGAAAAAGACATAAATGCAGTAATTACTTTCTCTGTCAGCACAGCAGAGAAGTGGACTTGTAACCACGGAGGTGTAATTCTGCCCCATTATATAATTCTCTCTGTCCATTCCCTTCCCCCAGCTTTTTTATTTTGCTGCTAGGCACATACCATTTCAAATTCTTATGTTCCATTAAAATCATCTGAGTTCTGCACAGCAGATATTCAATGTGACATTCCCACATCTGATCTTAATATAAGGAATCCACAGAAATTCTTTAGGTTTTCTAGCATTTCAGTAAATGTTTGAAGCTGTAGTATAAACATTTTTCTGTAGACCTCTAGTACGGAAAATACAAGCAGAGTAAGATGCTTTCAAAAGAATCAGACTGATGAAAGAAACAGCCACAAAGATATCCCTGCATTCCAGCGCACCACCAGCCTGCAGTTTAAGGAGACATTGTCCAAAGAACATTTCTAATGATTCACTGGTTTGCTTCCCATAAACATTTGTGCACTGCTAAGAACAAACAAAAATTGGGGAGGGACTGCCTTTTCCCATGAAAACAAGCGGTATTCCCACATGCAAAAGAGCAGCTTCTGAGCACACACAAGCTGCTCGTGCCAAAGAAATGGTGCCGAGTCAAAATGTCGCTGTCCCAACCCCCTTCCTGCACCAACTTGCTTTTGCCTCCCAGTTCTGCTGGCCCAGCAAGTACCTACAAGCTTCCCAGTTCGTTTTGGGAAAGGTCAGGTAGGTTAGTTTCAGCAGTTTTAATTAGCCCAATTGATTTTGCCTGAACCAGGTACAAGCCCATTCAAACTATTTATTCCGCAGAACTCCGGGAATGGATGCACTACATCAGCTTTTTGAAAGTGATAAGCACTTGGGATAATAACATATTTAACCAGTACAGCAAGATGTGCAAACAGATACATACTCTCAGTAAAACCCTGTGTTCAACTTCACATTGGGCAATAAACAGGATCTTCCCAACACAAGCACCATCAGTTATCTTGACTTTGTTTTTTAGCTTCTTAACCATGCTAACAATCTAGGAGAGGAAACAAATCTAGGCTTCTTCCCATTTCCCCAAAATGACTCTGAACAATTAAAAAATATTTTAGGGAAAAAAAAACAAAACACAATTTTACCACAAGGACATTTTCCATGTTTAGTAAAAGTTCAAAGTGCACTATCACAACTTCATATCAAGATGCTGGAAAAGTGCAAAGGTTTCTAGTAAACGTAAACATTTGCTAAAACCTTCCACAGTAGAAATACAAGACAAGATATAAGAATTGTTTTTAACTCTGAGAAAAAAAAAAAAATGTAACTAGGCAATTAACTACAACAAACTATATTTTGGGAATCAACATTGGTT